TGGTTTTGGAGGTGCTGTTACAGAACTTGAGACCCAATGTTTATGAAAATCACAATTACCTGAACAATTATAAATCTTGCCTAAATGATTAATAGTATGTAGTTAGGTATACAGTTTAAATGAAAAATGATTTCAGTTGTTTGTACCTTAGTGTTAACAAGTTTGAAATTTCTTATAAGAATGTATTTAAATCCTTTAAAAGAAGCATTAGCAATACGATAGCAACCAAACGTCTAAAACCAGATCTATGTATACAAAAAGAGACAGTAATAAATCTTTCTTTGCCCTGATAACGTTAAACCACTTTTTCATTTTTTTCATATTTATTACGTCATTTATTATTCCAACTCTTTCTGATGTTTAAGATTACATCATTCATAAATGATTGATTTCAATTTATATCTTTCTTTATTACCATCTATCTTCAGTTACTTGATTACACAATCATCTAATGTTTGTTAACTCCATGAGTTCTAATCACTATTCTAATGTTCTGGAACTTTCCCTCCCAAACTTTATTTATTCAAAACAGAAAAATTTTGTGACCTTATTAACTCGATCGGAATCTTCGCTAACATCATGATACATATATATTCATCCTTGATCACCCTCTTATGTAATATCTCTGATTTTCAAATATTTGCGGTTGTAAGCAGCTAATGAGAACCTAACGAAATAAAACGAATTCATATTATTCTGCACCAATCTTTATTCTTGCTCTATTTAAGAAATATTAGTGTTTGAATTGTCTATACTATACATATTGATTCCATTTATAAATTAATGTATAATCCATTCATTGTTATACTGATTCCTAAATATTTTCAGAAGTGGAATTTAAGTATACATAACTAATACATTAATTCATGTTAAGTAAATAAATCTCATTTAACTGATTGAAGATGTATACATTCAAGTAATGTTACCATAAGTGTACACCAAATGGTTCGATGAAAATTCTTTTATTTGTATATTAATGTATATAAATACTGTCAAACAAATGAAATAGTATCAGAAGGGGTTTAGATAGTTTTTTTTTACAAAAAAAAAACAAAAACAACAACAAACGAAACCATATTCATTTCACATGATGCTTATTTTATCTACTTACTGTAAAAGGATACAATAATCACATTATGATATTTATCAATTTGTCAAACGTAGAAAAAATTTCTCCTTTATGCCTCATCTTATAAAATATTGAAACTTACAGATTAAATTTACATGAATATTTCATGTTTGTTTATTTTCATTTCAATGTAATTTATTCATAATTAAAAATGATTGTAAGAATCAATTAGAGAAAATTAAAACTTGACTAACCGTTTCTTATCATATTTTAGTTCGTTTATTGAATTGATAATAAAACTATGGCTTATCAATTTAATTTTTAAAGTAACCTAGACTTTCATCCGATTTCAGTTAGTCACTAAATTAGCCAATATAAATGATGATTGTAGCAATTGAGATTATCTGGTTAACTTTTTTATTCAGATTATTTATTTTAATTATTTAGACAGATCTATTTCTCTCGAGGGGGATCGTGAATACGCACTGACGAAGAGTCCAATACTAGGGCGAAACAGCCTTCCAGGTTTTCCATAGTGGCTCATGATTTGACTCATGATTTCAACTAGTGAAATTTCTATTTGATATGACGAGAAGAAAAGTCAAAATTCAATTGATTTACTCACTATAAGTTTTGTTCAGCATTACTTCCGTTATGATTCAGTGTGATGATTATTCAGTGTAGTATTAGGTTTTGTTTTCACATATGATATTTTATTTTGTATAGTATGCGATATTCTTGTATTCCATTGATATGATCTATGCCCATTATATGATTTGTTATAAGTCTTAGTATTTTTCATATATGTGATTTCATCTTAATTATTAATCGAACTGAGTCTACAACCGATATATCAATGAGTGTATTTTCGACTAGGGTCGTCGTCGTGTTTTGGGGTCAATAAATCTTCAATTATACCAGTCTTTCTGTTCTTACTTTCGCGTCGTGGAAATCGCAGAGGTCCCTCGTTTCGAGTATAAATGATAAACGTTTCCGACATAACAATCAGCGACGACCAGATATAACAAGTAGCATTCAATTGACAAGTTATAACAATTTATCATTTAACAGATTCAAAAATTACATATTTTTCAACAAAAAAACACTGGTTATTGAAGTTGATCATCAAGATTATTGCTTTAAATGTTCTTTTTACAGACATGGTATCGTAAAACACCTCTTGGTAAACAGAAAGCTTCAGTTATTCAAGCTGAAAGTGAAGCGGCATCTGGTGGAGCTAATAAGAAACCCGTTAAAGGTCGAAAGAAATGAATTATTAACCAAAAATGTGATTTTCTTTCTTGTTTATTTGTTTGAAAAGAAAAAACATGTCACTGAATTTGTTTGTTTCTCTAATTTATCAGAATAATTATTTAACGTTTATCGACTTTCTGTACGTTGCATATGAATAAATATTTCTATGAAAAGAACAGATCTCATCATCTATTTATCCCTCTATAGAATAATTATAATCTCATATAATGTAACGTTTCACGACTATATTTAATATAGAAGTTTCAATATATATACGTAAGCATTTGTAAGTTAACTATCATATTATAGGATTCACATAAAAGTCCTTTCGAATAATGAACAGTTCTATGATTAAATTAAACTTGCAGCAATATTTTATTTTAGAAAACATTGATGATTTGTTGTTGATCAGTCGTATGTTATATAAGGATATTTTATTCTTTGATTGTTGGGGCGAGTGGGGATGGTTAGAGAGATTGGAAACGATATTGATCTCTGTGTATTTATGTTGGTAATTCCAGATTCTATATTCAAAGCAATTAATCCGTTTTAGAAATTTCTATAGAAAAGTGAGACGTCTTTTATTTGAAAAATATGTGGTGTATTCGCACCATACATTTCCAGTAATCTGGTTACACGTATACTTGTTATGGCGTTGATTTGTAAAAAATAATAAATATCGATTAAATAAATGTTCAAATAAACGAAAAATGATAATCGTGAATAAAGGAGATGAAATTCCGTATAATATGGAAAGAACAAGAAATGGTCATATCACTCTACGCCGTTAAATGACTTAAAGATTTCCAGGGTACATTAAAAAGTAACGACAAATTGTTTCTGTACACAGAATGATGGTCTAAATTTACGTATAGTTTAGGCTTCTATAAACTTAAGGATTCGTCTTCAACGACTTCTATACAATGTTTTAAAAACAGTATTAATGTCAATTCCGTTCTTTTTTTCAATTATATACTTTGATATCAATGAATGAGGTTTTCTGCTGTTTGTGCTTATCAGAGCGTTTGGTATTAATTGATTCTGAAGCCATCTACGTACATGTTTCATAAATCTAGATTGGATTGTCTGGTTACTTCTCTTTGATTATGAATCTGTTCCCTGTCTAAAAATTATACTGTTTATCTTTCTTCCAAATGATAAACAGATAAAAACCTTTATCTTAGCAACAGTATTAAAATGGGTTTTGGTGTTGACTGGTTTTTACATTGATTTATGAAATTCAGCTGGTAAACATTTATTATCAGTCAACAGTTCCATGTCTTTCTCAAACGCATCCGCATCACGTTTACAGAGGACTGATAGATGTACTTAGGGCTTCATGTGAAACTGGATCATTGATCTTAATGTCTGGGGTCAAATATGATGCATTCAAACCAGTGAGTAATAACAAATACTATGTTGCATATTTCATGAAACTGATCAAATTCTGCTAATCGATTTGGACCATGAACATCAGTATGAATTACCCGATATCATGATGGTCTTTGTTTCATATTACATGATTGAAGCTAGTCAATAGATAACAGTGAACTTAACGAATTCCTTCAATAGCAATCTGGCATTCTTTATTTATGTTTTCCTAAAACTCAAGATTAATGTTAATTTGTACCTCCTGTTTTTTTAAATCTAGTTCTTTTTCCATTTCAACTATATACCTCAAATGGAAATTTGATCGAATATAATATCTATCTTTCGTAATTTCTTTCTTGCTTTACCAATGTTGTGTTAAATTTTATGAGTCAATTGAAGCTAGACCACCGTAAAAAAAACCTAGAAGCACTGGACGGCCGTTTCGTTCTGGTATAGGACTCCTCAACAATCCGCATACACGATCGAAACAGCTGTCCAGTGCTTTCAGATTTCCCATGGTAGTCTAACTTCAATTAACTCATAAGCTCAACTATAAAACTACTATAATATCCATAAAAGCCCTTCTATGATTATAATGTTAAATGTGTCAAATTGAGCTGATACACATTTGTGTAATGTTTTATGATTTTTGTAACTGATTAATTTATTGAATGATTAAAGTTTACAAATAGAAAACATCTATCTAATTCATTGAATAGATTATCATTTATTATGAAGCATAATTCTAAAAAAATATTTTCAAGTATCCTGGATTATCAGTTTAGGGGTTGTGGAGATTATTCAGTTTTTGATTGAGAGCATGAACCGATTGATGTTAGACCACCATTATGGTTTCATAATAGCTGTTTAACTTATCCGGGATAGCTCGGTATTGCTCACCCACGATCTCGCCCACGGGATTCGAACCCAAAGCCTTAAGTCTCGCGCACGAACGCTTCACCTACTGGACCAATGAGCTGGCATCCAATGGTGTCAACCAATTTCGTGGATTGTTTGATGTTAGACACTAACACCATCGGGTGCCGACTAGATCAGATGTCCAGTAGGTTAGGCGTTTGCGCTTGAGTGAAGGCCCTGGGTTCGAATCCCACGAGCGGGATTGTGGATGTGCACTGCGGAAGTATCCTGGATTGGTTAAACAGCTAATATGAAACCATAATAAATATGTTACTATGATAGGCAAACTATAAATGAATGCTTAAATGATAGTTTAAATTAAATCAAATATATTCATACATAAAAAGCGATAAAATAAATTGATACACAGTATTGTTTTAATTATTCACAAATTTATTGACAAAATAAAAAGAAATATTCCTTTTTTAAAAACAAACAAACTGTTATCTATCATCACAAAATCAGCGGTAATTTGAAATAACAATGAAGTGAATGTATTGAGACAACATACACTGGTTTCTTTTTTAAGCTTACAATGTATAAGTAATAATTCAATTTGATTTATTTGATACTTATCAACTAATTTTGCATTATTTTAATTCTCCAAATTGATATGAAAATAATTGAAAGAATAATATTGATATTATTATTTAGTTACTATTTGGATTAGTTAGTTATAATCAATCAGTATGAATATAATAAGTAATATTATTAGTATATACAATTGAATGATATCATCATTCAAGATTATTTCATAAATGATATATGTATATGACACTGAATTGTTGCATTATTTTCATAATTATCGCTTATTAATCATATAGTTGATTAATTAATTAGTTAACCCAATTATTCAGTAAAAACATGATTAACTAATATTATACTTATTCATATGTAAACATAATTTCTAAACAAATATTGAATATTTAATGTAATCCTTGTAAATTAGATAAATAAATCATTACTATATATAAAATCTTATTTTCGCTTATAGTTATACATAAGCTGTTTTGTTTAGTGAAGAAACAAAGTATGGATATTGATGTAATACATTCTGGTTATCTAATCGTAAAACAAATTTACTAATATCAAACAGTTATCGTATAGAACCATCCATTATATATTATATGACTTGACTGAGTGTCTTTAAGAAGTCACTTACAAGATATGAAAAGTGAATGATTTAAAGGACAAATATTTAGGCGATATGATAATGAAAAAAAAACCCAGTGAGTTCTAAATTTCGAATTTTGACCTTCAGGGAAAAAATATCTTTTAAAGTATCAATAAGTGATGAAATACAGAACGATGCAATACTACATTGAAATTCATTCTTAGGAACTTCAAAATCAATTACTCTTAGGAAAATAAACATTTTAATATTTGTTGGTAACTTCAAAATGAATCTATTCAACAAAAATACCCTATGAAAAGTGTAAAATATGTCAATTGATTCAATTAAATGAATCAAATAATCAAAAAATAGTTAGGTAATATTTAAAAAAAAATTAAAACAAAAATCACCATCCTAGAAGAATAGAACAGTTATGAGTATAAAAGTGTATAATCTCTATTCATCATTATGAATTCATAGAAATAACTAATATTTTAAAGGATAGCAATTATCCTATGCTCCATTAGGGGTCATAAGCTTAAGTGTTGATCTAATTAATTTTTATGTTAAAAATTTTATATATCCAAATGATTAATATTAGTTAACTAATTAAACAATTGTAAATGAAAATGTAAATAAATTCTTAATCTACTACTTAACAATTAAAAGTTCAATCAATAGATTATATCTATTTTCACATTAATCTTTAGAAAAACAAAACAAAACAAGATTATTTTTCAATTATATATCAACTGAATGAGTATTTATTTCAATAAATAACTAAAGTGATATTTCACACAGACAAAAATATTTTTTAAAAAAAGAGATTAATTACATAATTCTTTATTATTATCATCATTATTATCGTTATTTCATTTCATTATCTGTAAATAAAGACAAAAAGAAAATCTTTCTAATAAATAAGTTTGTTTATTTTTAGAAAAAAGAATAATGATAAGAGAAAAAAATGTAAAAAAAAAACAACAAATCAATTATCAATTATTATTTTGATAAAATTGAATAATAAGAAAACAACAAAAAGAAAAGTTGATGAGCGACATTAATTCACACAGATAAAATAAACATCAGCTGACCTTAATAGAAAAGAGAATAACATGAATTCGAACAGTAAGTGAATAGATAAATAGGGACATAAATATTTTGGAAATGTAAAAATAAATGAAACATAATAATAATAATAATAATAATAATAATCAGTAAACATCACAAAAATAACACGAACATTGTCTGATTGTAAGTGAAATTAATTGGTTCGTTAAAATTATTGATCATTTCACTGTTGGTTATTGATTAGTGACACTGTTTTGCGTATAGTTAAGTTCGTTAAAAAAAAATAAGCAGATAATAAAGATTATGTATGAGTTAGGAAACCTGATGAATTAGAAGATTAAGTTGTCAAGGGAGGTGCAAAACAAAGACAAAGTTAAGATTACATACCAGATAACAGTAATAATAATAATAATTTATTTAAAATATAAAAACAAAGATTATTGAAAGACATTATTGTCCGTTTCTCTCCTTTTTTGATTTTCTTTACTTTGGTCTCTTATATTAATCTCAATTAATGAGTATACATGTAATGTTTCTTAATTAATTCTGATGCATAAAATGTCGGTAGGTGTACATAACGAAAAGGTAGTAGACAACTAAAGCATTTCGTGAAGGTGGATTATATATATATATATATATATTTCTGGCACATAACTGGTGGGAAAAAGTATTTATGAGTATACTATTGAAATACACTTTATGCATGCACACATACGCACTGCACAAGTACATATACATGACTAAGCCTATAGTGTGTGTATGTATACAGAGAGAGCGAGAAGAAAACCGGATTGGGTCATTACTACTTGTTAACTTAAAAAACGCAACCCATTTCTATTGTCAACTAGTTGTGTTGCATAAAAAAGGTATTACAAATGAAATCTAAGTAAAAATCAAAGTTTGTATACGTGCATGTGTGTGATAGTGATGGATACACACATGTACAAACATATGAACATTGAGGAACTAGTGTATACTCTGAAATAAGTATAAAATCATCGTTTGGTCAATCTATTTATGTGTATAATTGACAAAGTAGTAAGTAGTTATACAATCACTCATACATACATTCATTTTCTTTAAGAAAACACGTTTATACAACTCTGATAAATAACAGCAAATATATATGAGAATGCTTTTAATTCATAAAACTATAGGGCGAAGTATTAGGACTACTTGTTTCAAGTTTCATATTGAGTATAATGAGATGAAATTTGATCTGTATAACCACCATGACCATTATTATTATTATTCAAATTGAACTGAGGTAATCGTTGTACAATAATTTTGTGTGATTCAATAGTTGGTTGACTGTAAGGCTGTGGGCCGTATAGATTTGCAGAGCCATAGTCTTCTGATGATAGTGATTTAACTGAACGCCATCTTATTGTATTTTTGTAATCAGTATTATTAGAAGTATCATTAATACCACTGTTCGAAATAATTAATTTTGTACGAGCTGGTGGTTTCGGGGCAATTTCTGGGAGTGTAATGGTGGAATTTATAATGCTACAACTATTCATTCCTGTAATAGCTGAATTGATCCCATTCGGATGACTGTTGAGAGAATGTTCTTTTGGATCTGTATGGCTTCTTGTAAGGTTCAAAATTTTACGATTGTTATTACTGTAAAAGTTGTTATTGTTGTTAGCCAACCAACAGGAAGTTTGGCGATTGAACTGTTCTTGATGTTGTAATTGAACCGACTGCGATGATGGCGGTTGTTGCTGACGATATTGATAGTTATTTTTATGATTGTGATATACATCACATTGTTGTTGACTGTAATGGCTAGATGGATATCTATACAGACCACTACTTGTTATATTACTAGTGCTATTATTACACGTTGTATTTAATTTGTGGAAAACACCTGGATCCGTTGAAATTATCACATGTGATGATGTAACTGGAATAAAATGAATATCCTGCTTAGCGTAGTCATTGATATGATTGTAATTAATACTACTATTATTATGATCAATAATCGGTATTTCATATTCTGCTTGTGGTATATCAATCAACTTTGAACGTGTTGGGACAGAATATCGTTTGTCTGAGGCATTTATCATGGTCACATCAGTGGCAGGCTTCATTTTCTGTATACTTACAATATTATTCATACTATTGTTTAATGGTTTGTCAATAGTCAATGAAGATACAAATGGTACTGTTTGATGCAAATTGGAATACGAATATCGATTTGGTGAATTTGTGATTTTACACACTGTTGCATTCGTGCTATTTGCATTATTATTAGTGTGATTGATATTAAATGACATAAGGTTAGGTAGATGAGGAGTTGAGTCAGAGCAATGGCCAGTGATCAGAAAAGTTGGGCTATCACTTCCATTTTCTGTGATAATTTTGGTCTTACCGTAATCCGTAAACAGATGTTGGTTATTTTGGTGATGATGATGGTGAGTGAATTCTGATAATGGTCGATCATTATTACTAGTTGAATTACGATCTAATAGCTTTTTACTTTGATATATTGCATCAGGTTTGGTATGAATTAGAGGACGTGGTTTTTCTACAATAACTTCGGATTGAGTTCCACTTAAACTATTGATTTCCGTCAACGACTCAATAAGTGACGACCGACGAACTGATGTAATTAAATCTGAATGTTGAAGCATTACGTCAAGAGCACTAGTGTTGGGATTGCTGTTACTACTGCTATTGCTACTACTACTACTACTACTGTTGTTGATAGTGCTATCGTTCAAAATATTTTTATTCATATGAATTATATTACTGCTAGTTGTATTGTTAATAGTAACATCATCACATGTACCATCAATATTACTATTATTGATTTTAGTAATGTTATTATCACTGTTTAGGTGATTACATGATAAGTTCACAGACAGTAATCGACCTTCCTGATTGTCATCTGATACGGTTAACTTGTTGTCAGCACATTGATTACTGCTATTAGCAGTAGTAGCAACCATCGTCGTTGTCATCGGAGTGGCCGTTGTTATTGTTCTACTATCATTGTTTGAATAAATGAATGTAACATGCCGATTTCCAGTAAAAGAAGAAGACAGTTTATCAGTATGCTGAGTTGAATGTGACAAATTTTTCGAACATGTATTTGGTGAATTAGAAACAGTAACCAAGTATGATGGCTGTTGTTGTACTATGGTAATTTGAGAGTTACGACGAGTTTTTTTCAATTCTTCCTCTTGAATCGGACTACTCTGTGCATCAACCATGCGTGGCACTACATCAGTTTCATGATTATTTCTCACTGAATCATTTGCAATGGAATTATTATGTGTAATATCAAAATTAACTAAATGACTACTAATTAAATTTATTCGTGATGTTTTTTGTCTTCCACTATTATATAACCCATTGATTTTATGCAATGAGTCTTTATTCAGTGATTCATGACCATTACGATGATCATGAAGTAAATGACGTTCGTTAATTTCATTAGCTAATTTACTATTATTTGGTGCAAATTTTGATACTTCCATACTCCTAACACGTACTTGTGAACGAAACCCAATAGTGGATTTATTATTATAGAAATGATTAAACCATGGATGCATAATCGCTTTGTTTGATTGAATTCGTTCGTCAGGTAACCAAGTTAAACAGGATGATAGTAAATTTACAATTAATTCATTATCTTTATCTAAGTAAATTTCTTCTTCCTCTGACATTTTGGTTGGATTTATTGCTGTTGATAAATTGGATACGCTACGTGTATCTTTACGTTTATAACGACGTAGTCTTGATTGAGTAATAGCTTGAAGTAATGGTAAACTACTTGGTATACCACGAACATGTCCACCTCGTTTTGAAATACCTGGTAACAATTGTGGAGGATTATCACCATCTGGATAACGTACTGAACAATAACGTGGTAGATACACAAGATCTCTACTTAATCGTACACCTTTTTTGTCCATAAACTCCAATGTAGATGGTTTCAATTTATCACATTTGAATTCAATGAAGTAACGATCTAGTTCTGATGAATGACGTAAAAGATTTGGATGTGGTAGACCTAATACTTCCATAATACAAGCCATTTGGTCAGTTTCATCCTCTCCAGGAAATAATGGTAAACCTGAAATAAAATCACAAACAGATGAAAAACGGAAATCAAAAAGTTAGCTAACCGTATACTTCAAGTAATTATATAAAAATATTTCCTAATTTGGATTCGTTATTACAATACCAAAAGAAATAACAAATAATAACGGCCAATAAGTTCTGAAATGGTTACAAAGATTTATTACTGAAGTGGACACTTTTGATTGTGTCTTGTTCTCTGAGCTGATTGGTTTAAATTTATGACTTTCCTAGAAGTATTGAGTAAGATTATCAATATTTACTTCCTCTCAGTACGAGCTTAAAAAACAATATAACCAAAAAGACATTTGATTTCGTTATACTCTGAATTTAAAATACGGATGCTGACTAGCTATTTCATTTATTGTATGTATTGTATAATAGGATCATTAATGTTGTACCAGGACGAATTTGTCCCATGTAGCCGAGTTCTTTTCCAAACCACTTAAATCTTCTTGGTAAAACTGAACAAAGTCGACGATATGGTGAAACATCTTTCTCGGTAAAAAACTATCCAACAAATCACTTTCAATTCTTCTTGTATGACACAATGAGATTCTTTCATTAATTAAAAAAACACAATTAAAATAAGTAAATTAGGTATAAGGTTTATTGAGACACTATGACTTCCCATGAAATATATAACTTAACTTTTTGTGAAGATTTAGTCGTTCACTTAATTATTTAGCACGACATAGTTCTTCGTAATTAATGCAATCGGAATCAGTAGTCTTAAACTAGAAGCATGAAAAGGCGACAGTTAAAAAAACCCAGTAAGATTAGATTTGTAGTGTATTGGTATGACGAGTCTTTTTTCATCACTGGATGAATTTCACTGAGCAACTAGAAGTGTCTAGTGAACGACGTGAGCAGAAATTCCACCCTAGTTCTAGATGCCTCAATTGTGGGCAATCATAACACTGTTTAAGATCAACCTCAAGATTTTCAGAGACTTCATTATATCTGCGCCACTGAGTTACAATCTAGTTATTCACATTTATAACTTCAGTTAATCTTGGATGTCCGACTTCATAGAAATACATAAAAATCGATCATATCTACCTCACCGTTGATTTGCTTGATTTTCATTTGTTACTGCTTCTCATCATAACTTTCTGAATTCTCTCACCAATATTTGAAAACTTTAAAATTCTATAGTAGTGTAAGCTAACCAGCAGTAATGGCAAAAAACTACTTTACTATTTTATAATATATTAAGTTACTTCTTATTGGTTGAATGATATTTTAATTTGGTCGGGTAATTGTAATTTTAATAAACTTCGTCCTACTGTTGAGCTGATATATTTATATTGAATGCATAGTGTTATCAATCTTATAAAATTGATAGTGTAGTGTGTATTCAAGGATATTCATTACGATTTCAGTTTCCACCAAGTGTGTTAAACATGAAATTTTTGGTCAATATTTGTTTATTTATTAATCAAATGTTCCATATTTGGGTATAACATCTACCAAAGATTTCACTTTAACCCGTAATTTATAATGGGTTTGTGTTTTACATCCACCTTCCCGGACTAGGTTATACTATCCTATTCACAGCAGACAATTAAAGGTAACTACAACATATTGATAATTAAACAGTAAATTACAATTATTGATTCAGGTAGAACGATATAGTAGTGATTAATTATTGAAAAACCTTAGAGATATTGTCGTCCCAATTTATTAACAAAGAAGAGTTTATTTATGTAAATAAATAAATAATGGATTAATGAGAAAACTTCTAACCATTTATTAGTTCAGCCACTAAACATCCAAAACTCCATGTATCAATTGCTTCATTATAACCTAAACGAAGTAGAATTTCTGGTGCTCTATAAAATCTCGACTGAATATAGGGATATGGTTGACCATTTTGAAAACAACTTGATCCAAAATCAATTAATTTAACATAATCCTTTTGTTCTGTTACACGTTGATACATTGAACGTAAATTATTCAGTGAATCATATCCATTATTACTATTATTATTATTATTACCATTATAATGATTTTGATGTTGTTGACATTTTTTAAAATAATTATCACCATATTGATTATGTGAATTCTGTTGATTAATATTATTACTGTTATTATCATTTTCTGGCAATTGTGGCCAAACAAGTAGAATATTTTCTGGTTTTAAATCACAATGTATAATTCCAGCTTTTTGTATAAATTGTAAAGCTTTTAATACTTGAAAAGATATTCGTCTTACACGATCTCTTGGTAAACCAGTAAATTTATTTAATTTTAATAAATCATATAAATTAATATTTAATAATTCAAATGTCATACAAATATGTTTACGAAATGTAAAATGTTCATATAAATTAATAATTGGAAAATCACAACGATTTAATTCACCACCAGAAGATTCACGCATATTTCTTAATGTTTCCAATATACGTATCTCTTCACGTGCCTATTTGATCAATTGAATATATATGAAAGAAATAATAAAAGAAAAAAAATTAAATGACTTTTAATATAGTTTCATGGAAATACTTAAGAACATTGTCATTTAAATTAATTACAATGAGAAGGAGTTTTGTGGAGATTTTTAAAAATTTCAATGGTTGAAATCATGAGTCAATTGAAACTAGACAAATATGGAAGACCTGGAAGCACTGGACGGCCGTTTCGTCCTGTTGTGGGACTTCTCAGCAGTGTGCATCCACGATCCCGCCCCCACTCAGGACCTATCGGTTTCGCGCACGCGCGCTTAGCCATTAGACCACTGAGCCCCCATCAAGCGGTGTTAATGTCTAACTTCAACCAATCCACGAAGTTGCGCAGCCGTGCACCATTGTCTTCAGTAACTTAATATCTCACAACAGACTTGGTTGAACTCCACTGGTAACGGCTTCTCACCAGAACTCCAGGAAATGCCTCTTGAAGTCAGTCACTAGTGAGCAGGTGATTATTATTATCAGAATGGGTTTTGTGGAAATTTTTAGGAATTTCAATTGTTGAAACCATGAGTCAACTAAAACTAGACTGCCAAGAAAACCTGGAAGCACTACAATCAATTAAGAAAATAATAAGAATTTTTAAATATTTTGGAAGTCGTAATCATTGATAATGAAAAATAGACAGTTGGGATCATTGAAATATTTATCTAGTTCCAATTTTATTTATTTAATTGTTTTTACATACGATTGAATAATTGAGCGCTTTAACTAAAATATCATCATTTTATTCACAGTTATAATTGAGATCCAAACTTGTATATTCAGCTTTATTTAACACTTAAAAATTCATTATCAGAAGGGGTTTTGTGAAGATTTTAGTAATTTCAATAGTTGAAATCATGAGTCATTTGAAGCTAGACCACCGAGGAAAACGTGGAAGCACTGGACGAGTGTTTCGTTCTAGTATGGGACTTCTCAGCAGTGTGCATCCACGATCCCACCCCCCGGCGAGATTCGAAAAAAAGGGTCGAACAAGTAAGTTACACGTTTTTGATGATTATGAGAATCCATTCTTTAAGACGAATATTTGTTGTTTTTTATTTTTTGAATAACGGTTACCGTCAATCACATACTTCGTCATATGTACATCATTATACGTAAACTTCTTTGTAATGATAGTATGCATAATATTTTATTTCCGATTTCAACTTACATAATCTATCAATTTAAATTCAGTTATTAAATGGTAACTAATTGCTTTGTATTTGAGTAAAAAACATAATCAAAAGACTAATATTTAAACGACGAATATTCTTTTCGATAAATCCACAAATCTTTGTATTATTATTATTACTATTGGTTAAACATTATTAATCTCCCTTATGTATGATTTATTCACTTCACATTGATCCCTCCTTATTACGTCTTACTAATTTGTCACACAATGTAGACTTCTACTAAACATTTGACCAAAATGTAATTGCAATATTATTTCTCTCACCCTATCTAATCCCTATTTATTCTGATCATGGATCTTAAATTTTACGTCATATATATGCAGATTCAAGTTAACATTCTATATGAATCAAACCAACATTAACAATTTTATTGCATTTTGTTTAACAATCCTAAATTCACATGCTTTAAACGATGTACTTTGTCCTTAACCTGGCCACTTTTTAGATTATATGAATTGTACAACCTGAAGAGAATTTATCGAAAAGAATATTCTTCGTTCAAATATTAGTCTTTTATTATGATGGGGATCTTTAAACGATTGAAAACATAATCATAATTTACAAATCAGTAAAAATAGACAGCTATATGGAGAAAAAAATCCAGTATTTTTCTTTAAATTTGTATTTTGAAATAGAAATAACATTTTACGCATGAGTGATATTTGAAAATTAGTGAAAGAAATACAACACCCTATACATTATTAAATTATTTTATTTATAAGCAAAGATAGATAGTGCCTAGCAGTGGAATTCAGGACACACGTTTCGTCTTATTTGCGACTCGTCAGCCGCATATACCTGCATCTCAGAGTTGATGTTCACTCTGGAACTGGTCAATTACAGTCCTAAACATCAATGGGAAGATTCAAGTAAACAATACCAAGTGAATTTGTCTTACTTATCTCTCAATTATTAAACAAAAATGTATGACTTAGTTTCAACCGATTGCTGTGATTATTATTTCTTAAAACAGTAATTACTTTACTCTGGTGTAAACTCACTTGATAGATTTTTTTTCTATACAGATTGTTAATGAATGGTATTTGGCTTATTAACTACAAATTTCATTGACTTAGTGGAAATGATCCCAACATGAAAATATCCTTAAACGTCTATAATAACTAAACTAGGGACAGGACAGGAAGTAAAACTATTATTTTTGAGAAGATATAAATGGTACGGAAAAACTGTGAAGTCATTAGATAGGATATGAATTCTCATGTGAATCTTTATTAACATCAATCAGACGAAATAAATTGAAAGCAAACTGTATTCATAAATTATATACGACAAGCGTAGTTCAGCTACTTATAAGTAGTGTTTTCGATAAATTATTAATTTAAATTTACTCATGATAGATTTAGAAGAGTTAGTAGTTTGAATGTGATATATATATAGAAGCAAATTCGTGGAAAAGAATGTATGTTTACAGTTAAAATTTATCGAATTTCCAACACCAGTCAGCGTTGCGCGTCGTGGTAATCGGTGTTCAGGCATACGTAACACGTGGCCTAACCATCTCAGTCGATGGAGATTCACAACCTCATCAACTGATTTACCATCATTACCTAATACCCTGCGTCTAACCTCACTATTACTTACCCGGTGATCCCAGCAGATACCAGCAATATTTCTAAGGCATCTGTGGTCAAATACTAGTGGCTTACGAGTATCTTCTACTCTTAACGGCCACGGTTGGTAGCCGTGAATTAAAACAGAACGAACTGCCGCGCAGTTTACACGTCCCTTAATTTATAGACGGATATCTCGCCTTCGCCAAAGGTGACGCAAGTTGGCAAAAGCCAAGCGAGTTTTACGAATCCGTGCTGAGATTTCGTCAGACACCAACCCATTAAGGCTGATCAGACTTCAAAGTAAAGTTGTCAACGCGTTCGACTACTTCACTCCCTGTCCTTAGTTCAGATGTTGACGCAGGCCAGTCCTGAAGCAACAACTTGCATTTAGAGGGAGAGAAGCGCATTCCAAACATTCTGGCATTGTTGCTTAGTGCTACCAGAAGACTCTGCATTTTATCAGCGTTTTCATCAAACAGAACTATGTCATCTGCGTATTCTAAGTCGATAAGTGGACCTCCTGGAAGGAGATCAATACCCGAGAATTCAGTCGACGGGGATGTTATTTCCATCAGTAGGTCTATGATGAAGTTAAACAGAAATGGAGAAAGTGGACAGCCTTGACGGACACCACTTGAGGTTGAAAATTCAGATGATAGTTCACTATTAGCTCTGACTCGACTGGTAATGTTCGAGCAAAGAGCGTTCACATGGTATATGTACTTCTGTGGTACACCTTTCAATGGCAGATACTGCTACAGAACCTCTCAATCGACAGAGTCTAATGCTGCTTTGAAGTCAAGAAACTAGTGAAGAAAAACTATGATTGTCGAACGCCGATAAGCATTCCTGTGTTCCAAAATCTGACGAATGGTGAGTATGTGGTTGAGTAAATCCATTGGTTCTTTGTAACTCTGTGATTTAAATAATTGATAGATGTCACTGCTGTTTCCACAGCTGATTGTTTGCCCTTCCAAGCAACATCTGGGTCAGCCTCGTTTTCAGAACTACCTAATCGTGACCTCAGTTGTTCCTGGAACCTACTTTTGGTTTTCTCGTTACTTAACTCAGTTCGAATGGGTCTTTTTAATGTGGCTTTTTTGCGTCCAGTGAGGCGCAAGCAGATGCGTGCCTGTATTAGGGCATGGTCGGAGTCCAAGCAGGTACTCCAGAATGGGCGACAATCTTCTACCGACCCTCTACAACGATGACTGATGGCAATATGGTCTATTTGAGTCCATCGTTGGTTTGGTGTAGGGGGTCGTCATGTTAGACGATGTCTCTCCTTATGCTTAAAATTTGTGTTTGCTAAAAATAAACGATTGCCTGAGCATAGTTGCAGCAGACGATCACCATTATCTGTTCGTTGTGCCAGAATACTAAAATACCCACCTAAATGCCTTTCTGTTTGGTTTAAACTACCTATCTGGGCATTAAAGTCACCTGCTACAAGTACTATGTCTGAACGTTTAGCTTTCTGAAGAAGTTCAGATAGCTTTCTGTAAAATTCATCTTTCATTTCATCTGAGCTGCAGTCAGTGGGAGCGTAGGCAGAAACGACAAAAAGGCAACGACGTGTGTCCCTATCCTTCCGAGTTCTTACGGAGCCGTTTAGCTGAACAACACATAGACGACTGTTGACGGGGATCCACTCTAGCAGTGCTTGTTCCGCCCTCATGCTTAGTGCTATGCCTACACCTGCCAGTCCACGAGAGCTGGCCATCGGGTCACCAGATACACGGAGGGTGTATCTCGTTGGCTCTCCGTTTTGCCGAGGTGAGGTCAAGTGTTTTCTGTACGAGATGGTTTGATTGTGAAGCTGTGATTACGTGTCTCAATAACCGAGTCATAGAACACAATACCAACATATTCAACCGTCAGAGCTACCAACGTTTCGCTTCATTTTATTATTTAAATTTGCCAAAAGAGTTTGACGTTCAACACGATCTCAAATCAAAATAATATGGACAAGTGAAACTACGCAGTTACCTTTTAAAATTTACGAAGAAAAATAAACCTGAACATCACATCATAACCATTTTCGTTTTTCTAATCATTATCAGTATTAAATGTAATTTGTTGACAAATCACAATCGTATAATCTTTCTATTAATCACAATACTTTTAACTGTCCATGCATATCAAGCACTTAGTAGCGAATAATCTAGATATTGACTTAAAAGTTTTATATAAATAGGTCATCGTTACAAAAATCATTATATAAATTACAAATACGAACACTATACTGATAAATTTTGTAACATTAGAATAAGAATATATGTATAATCAGAAACAGTTTTGTGGAGACTTTAGAGTTTTCATAGTTGAAATCATGAGTCAACTGGAGCGCAATTTCATGTATTGGTTGAAGTTAGACATTAACATCGTTCGATGGGGGCCCAGTGGTCTAATGGTTAAGCGCTCACACGCGAGACTGATAGGTCCTGAGTTCGAATCTCGCGGGGGGGGTGAGATCGTGGATGTGCACTGCTGAGGAGTCACATACTAGAACGAAACGGCCGTCCAGTGCTTCCAGGTTTTCCGTGTTTGTCTAGCTTCAATTGACTAAAGATTTCAACTATTGGTGTATATATATATAAATTTGTTTTAATCAACAACGAAGAAACAGCACAAATTATAAAGTAAAATCAATGACATTACGATCGTACTTCACCAGAATGTGAATAGTATCTAAATAAATTATTCTTTCACATAATACCTCACTATTACAGTACTTTGGAAAAAAGTACACAAATTTAAGTAACAAAGCAATCGATCTATTATTTTTTTCTGAGAATTTGAAATGAATGAAAATAATATAAAAAAACTTCATTTAACGATTATTCATCATACAATCATGTTTCAGTATGTATGTGAATAAAGTAATGTAATCAATTTAATTTTATGTAAATAAAATGAACATATAATATAATACAAATGAAGTTTTCAATTTAAGTGTAGAATTATGTTGCTAAGCCATGAAAAAATGACTGATTTCTGTCTCATTTGTAAACAAGCGAAACGAAAGAGTACAATGTATTTTCAAATTGTATTTAGTAGTTTGTTTTTTGAATTTCAACTTTAAACTTGTCTGTTGTTTAACTTTTGATTATTTTGTAAGTCTTATGTTTGGATGTGTAGATAGCAACTTGTTAACCTTATCCTAGCACTCAGAAGTATTGTATTCTCAAAAATAGGTCATTGGAAATATAGAAACTTCATTTTGGAGATTAATTTAACTTTGAGAATACGTCAGGATTTGTGAGATTTTGTGTTTTGATAGTCTAAAAGTTTCTAGAAAACATGCTAAATTGATAGCAATTTCAATAGCTGTCAACTAAGGATGAAAAAATGATCAGATATATTCTATATTTTACTTAAAAGCTTCCAGAGATTAATAATCAGAAGAAGTAGTCTCCAAACATTCTCTAGAAAATTTGCAGAGGAATTGTTGAATGACTCCAGCACGGTAAAATATGAAGTCTAATAACCTGAATCACGTTTACTTACGCCTTTTTCCATAATAGATTCTCATCATGACTTGGTTATTATTGTAAGACTTGTATACATTCTACAAAATAATCTGCACATATTGACAAGTTGTGACAAGACAGTTCAATAATATCATAACAAAGTGTAACAAGACGAATAACGATAATGTTGGATATTTGATAGAAACATTTGTAGACGTTGTATAACCGTTACCGCTGGAAAATGATATGATTTGAGTTACAATGAAAACAACGCAAGACTTCGTTGATGCTTACCTACAAACTCACACAGGATTTTCTAGTGTCATGATCAACATGACAAGTTCATATTACTGAGATAACATGTAACTGCTTCACATATAAAGCATCATTTTCTTGAAGATCGAAGGTATACTTTGTAAGGTGTCAAATAGCTTATTTCGGGACAAATGATTGCATTTAAATTTTTTGACGAATACTTTGGAATCATGAATCATCTTTCAATGTATGCTTTAACTCATTAATCATTTATTTTGTACAGAAATATAGTTGAAAGTAGGTGTCGAAATTGGTTCATTTTACAGACTGATTTCAGTTAAGGTGCTACTGAAGATCAGCAAACACTGGATAGCTTATTCGTCTTCATATGCAGGTGACGTAAAAACAGACCGTAAATGTGCACTGCTGAGGAGTTCCATTACAGGACGAAATAGCCATCCGGTGTTTTTCGGTTTTCAGTAGTACCTCAATGGAGATAATTCTATGTTGGAACATTTTGCCAGTTGAGTTACCTTGCATTGGTATTGTTTTTTACATCAAGAGATAGTGAAAATTACATCAACGATAAACTAACTACTTATTTCGATAATTTAATAACAGAAAAACAAAACTAACCTGACGTGTAAAACGTGGTTCCGTTCGGATGATCTTCAAAGCAACTTTACATCCTTTCATATGATCATAAGCTGAGACAACTTGTCCAAAGCTACCTTTACCGAGGAGTGATAAGATTTCATAACGATAGGCAATGTGATCATGTTGTATAATTCGGTAGAAATTATCAGAATCATTGAACATTGATTGATTGTCTTTTGGTGTACAGGAAAAGAAATGAAGATGAAGGAGGTAGTTGGTAAACAGAATGATTAAGGCTAGGTAAAAAGGTGTCACTACTACATTCATTGATGCAAAAACGGTACATTGAAGCTATCCATTACAAGATATTTGACGTGAAGAAGCAAACAGTAAACACTAGGATGTACTAACTGCGTTCTATTTTATGACTATTCGATGTCAAAAATGCTCGAAAAGACACCAACTGAAATTTTGATGAATAAGATTTCTTCTTTAATTACTTGTTTCCAACAAATAACGATTCTCATATAATTTAATGGTTAAAATCATGAGTCAGTTGAAGTTAGACAACCATGGAGAACATGGAAGTACTGAACGGCCGTTTCGTCCTATTGTGGTACTCCTCAGCAGTGAGCATCCACGATCCCGCCCCTCACGACATACGAAATCAGGACTTATCAGTTTCGCGCGCATGCGCTTAACCACTAGACCACTGAACAGGCATCCAACAGTGTTAATGTCTAACTTCAACCAATCCACGATATATATAATTTATTTGTCGCTTTCTATTTCACTACCGACAACGATTGATGTTTTAGTTCATGTAATCTAACTGTGTATGTAGTATTGAAGAGTTAAGATCTAGGACAAAATAACCACTTTCTAAGCAAAGATGGATAGTGGCTAGCAGTGGAATCCAGTAGGCTAGGTTCGTTCTATTTGGGACTCGTCAGCTGGATGTACCTGCATTCCATAGTTGATGTACACTCTGGGACTCGAACCCAGTATCTTTCGCTTCAAACATCATCGCATTATCCGCTTATCTAGTGTTTCCTTATAGCCATCTGCTTGTGCAATCGGGTGAAGTTTAAATTCACTTGGTGTTGATTTACTTGTACTTTCTCATTGTCATTTAGGATTACAATTGATCAGTCTCGTATTGGCATATGTGCATCCTTTGCGAATTGCCTCTATATAGCCTTAAGTCACAAGCTTTTTAAGCAAAAATGGATAATGGTTAGCAGTGGAGCGAACATTACTCAGTTCGAGTCCCAGAGTGAACATCAACTGTGGAATGCGGATGCATCCAGCTGACGAGTTCTAAATAGGATGAAACTTGCCTCCTGGATTCTGCTGCTAGCCACTATCCGTTTTTGATTAAAAAGCTTGTGACTCAGAGCTATATCGAGTCAATCCGCATAGGATGCACATATGCCAACATGAGACTGATCAATTGCAATCCTAAATAACAATGGGAAGATACAAGTAAAACAACACCAAGTGAACTAATTATTTTTCGCTAATTTTTTTTTACATGTGATTCAAATAATATTCTTCCCTCTTAAAAACAATTCTTCATTGAGCTTATTTCCCTGAAGTTAAATTTTACCGTTGATTTGAATTACAAAAGGACCTTGAATAAAGTTGTTGATTTCAATAACTACAGATCTATATCTTATAAATTTAGTTTATTATTTAAGTAAAACGTCACAGATACTCTTGAAATGTATTCAAAAGAATGAGCCTAAATAATTCTCAGACAGAAATAAGTACATGAACTAATATTTTTGAATTTCTTTCAAATAAACTTTATCAGTACTCTTAATAATAAACATTTCTTTTATATTATTAAAAATATTTGATCAATTTCAGTAATTTGGTTCATTTGTGTTAATAATGATATTGAATATTCTGAAACTATATAAATTATTATTTTTCTAAAATAATTTAAATGATAAATGTTTTCAGTAGCTTAGAAAAAAATAATAAACAAAAGCAAGTTTATTATTTTATTGGAAAGTTATAAACATTAGTCACTAATATAACATAATTCTTATAAATCAAATGGGAAAAGATCATTAACATATGAACTTGATCTACCTGGATTATTATTATTATTATTGTTATTATTATGATATGGATTTACTTTATCATTTGAATATTGTAATATTTGATTATTAAATTTTTGTATAGAAAATTGTGGGCAATTTGATATTGAATGTTTATCAGCTGTACAACCTACATAAAAAATCTGTTGAGAAAAAAATGAAAAAAGAAAATAATTTAATTAATTATTATTTATTAATTATTAGTTGTCTAATTACTAAGTAATAATTATTGTTGAAATTCTGTAAATTGACTTTTGAGCAATTGTTTTATATTAGAAAAGTGTGTAAATCTGTAGTTTATGAAGGATAAAGGAAAAAGAACAAGAGAGTGAATGATTATCATCTGGTCTAACAGTCTAATATTTGACAGACTAAATGAAATTGTCGATTATAATAAAATAAAATACAATACTATCATTAAATTAATTGAATCAGTTAGTAGATATTGTTTAAATTAATGATAAAGTCTTATCAATAACTATTTATATGTGGATCAGATTATCTAGATTTACAGCATTTTACAGCAGTGACCAGTGAAGTTCAACCGATGTTGTTGTTAGATAGTAAGTCACTGATGACAATGGTGGATGTGCCGCTCAATTTATCGGATTAGTTGAAGCCGGTTGGGTTCCGACTCAGTGATCTCGAGGTTAGACACTCGTGCACGAGACTGATGGATCCTGTGTTCGAATTCCGCGGGAGGGAGCGGGATCGTGAATGCTCACTACTGAAAAGTCTCACAATAGGACGAAATGGCCGTCCAGTGCTTCCACGTTTTCTATGGTGGTCTAGCTTCAATTGACTCATGATTTCAACTATTAGAATATATAACAATATCGACTAAACCTAACTTATAATCATTCTGCTCATAGAAGCACAGTTTAACCACAACATGCTCTGTTAGACATTACTTGAAATTAAAATCGATAAATTTCATCTTATTACTAAAAGACTGTAAACCAATGGAAAAACTTGAAAAATCAGAATAGATTTATTGTACAATGGAATATGCACTACTCACGAGTAGTCGAGAGCAAACTTTCTAATTATTTTTTATGAAGTATCAATAAATTTAGAAAAGAATCTGAACATTAATAAGTAACCTTTTACTTTAAAAAAAATTTACGCATCATGAAGAAATCAATTAAATATAGGTTTATAATAGTCTGAAGAGAATCTCATTATTCTGTTAGATTTGTCGACAGATAATCATTTAAACACTGTTATCATCATAGATTGATATCATCTGTATAACGAAAAACACTTTCTGTCCATTCTGATTAAACACTCTTTAGTTATCATTTACTACTGTACATAACACAAAATATATATTTATATTCTTCAAGATTATTAACAGGATTTCTTATAGTTTAACGATTGATTTACAATTACAAACTACTATCACATAATGTACATTTATAGGAAGTTCTAAATTAAATTAATACATAATCATCTATTGATTTCTGTTTCACAATAATTCTGTTAATGATATAAGCTGATAATCAAACAATTGTTTTCATTTTAAATAATACATAATCCTTACAATAAAAACTTGTCATATATATATATATATATATATTGAATAATAATTAACTTCAGGTAATTTCATTTTGATGCTGTGAACTGTTTACAATACATTAAGTTTTGGTAAATCAATGATGTAATATGGTATAATATGTGTTAAATCCTTATTGAAACAGTGTAATTAATGTAAATGTTTTAAAATGAAATACAGTATTATAATGAGAATAGGTCATAAAATATATTAAATATAATTAAGATTATTACGTATTTAAACGTGCAGAAAAGATGTTAGTTATGAGTAATTAAAATGAAGAAAATATAGTTTTATATCCTATTGTTTTTACTGTAACTTTCAGTTCTGTTTAGGATACCTTTCACAATTACACTAACTAAAGTTGTTTACAGTATATGAGATGTTGGAAAATAAATTGATGAATTCATTTTATTCAACAGACCTTGTAGCTTTTACTCTGTTTTAATTTATCAGGTTGTTTAAGTACTGTATATAAGTAATTTATCTAGAATTATTGTTGAAAATATTATTGTTATTACAGTTGTTTATTTTTTATTTCTCTATTATTCTAGACATTATAAACAAAATTGTAGACATACAAAATAAAACTAAGGCTGTTTTCTTTTTAAAAAAATATCAATGTTGGTTTCATCCTATTAATTTATGAACGTTGTCCAATGTAAAATATAAATAGTGAACATCATATGTTACCATGACATGTATCTTCGGTAATTGACACTATTAGCTGATGTCACGCGATGAAATGTTCCAAACAAACCTGTTATCAAGGTTTGTAATAAATAAAAGATATTCACTTTTTTTTAAAAAATAATAAAAACAATGGTAGTGAGTAAATGAATACAACATTGTTTTTTTTCGAATAGAAACATGTATTTACTTTTCATTTTTAATTCATTGAGATTTTTGTTCAGTTTATTAGTATTGGGAAAGTGTTGTTAGCATTTAGCATAAGAGAGCTAGAGATTAATTATCATAATGTTCGACATTTATTCGGGTTTATGTTATTCTAGTCACAGGATTATATTGTTTGGAGTGAAAAGATATTAAAAATTTAAAAAATACTAGTAAGGTGAATTATTCAGTTGTCATAGTGATAGTTTAACTGAGCTTCAGTAGTTACAGAAATCTTTGATTTTTAACCTTATCCTTCCGTGTTAATGCACTTCATTTCATTGTTATAAGACATAATTATACAATTAAATATAGGTCGTAGGGGGCTACTGCCGGTCCCAAGCCCCGGTAAAGGAGAAGGGCTTGGCATGGGGTTAGCGACTCCATCCTTTAGAAAACTAAATTGCTAAAAAAACTCTAACCAGAAAAAAATAATTCAAGCCATTTAAACTCTGCCCTGAAAGTTAGGTCTTATTTAGAAGAGTTGTGACGCCTTGTGATGAAAGTTGAGTTCCTTCGGAAGTCACAAGGCTGATGCTCCTTCTGACAATCAAATCAACCATTAATTTACGTACAGGGAATGCTCGTACAATGTGGGAAACCTGAAGAGTCATCCAAATTGCTGTAGAAATGAAAAGATACAACTTGGAGGTGCTCGGAGTCAGTGAAGCACATTGTATGCAGATTGAACAACAAAGACTAGCTTCAAGGGAGCTGCAGTTACACTCCAATCATCAAGAAGAAAATGTTCCACATACACAAGAAGTTGAAATGATGCTATCTGTAGGCCAACATACTACCAAATAGTTTCGAAAATTCAAATGAAATATCTTTTTATTGTGTCAAAAAATCTTTTAAAAGTAGAACATAAAATAAAAATTTCAAAGTTACTATATCACTTAAAGTAATAACTGAAATAAATGAATAACATTATTGTTTTATTATTCTATCATTTATTGTATATAACTAAATGATCATATATTGTTTTATAGATTGATTAATGTATTTGCATTCTTATATTTCACAAGATCAGTATATATTTTTCTATTTTGGATATAGACAAATGTCTAATGTATATTTGTAAAAAATCGACAACCGCTTATTTCGTTGTTGTTTTCCTTTCTAAGAGAAACACATGGCTTAATCACCTGTGTTCATCTGTTGTTGTGTTTTTTTTCATCAAATAGTTTTACTTATATAAATGATATTTGATTGTTTATCATGTGATATTATTTTGATAAAAAAACATTCTTCTACTTTAATACAATGAAAATAAGTAGTCATTTCAAAGAACATAGGCAACACATATATATTACGCAATCGTAAATATAACCAATAAGAGGATAATTTCACATTGATTTTGCAGAAGAACTAATCAGGACATAGGTAGTTAAATTAATCAATAACAGAATTAAAACAACGCGTTTACATAAATACAATATACTGTTTATAAATTCGAGAGAATTTAGCTGTTTCAATCAAATAAACAAGACAACAACTTTAATTCGACTCATGTATTACACTGTTTTAAAATTAAAATATATCTCTATTGGTAAATACTGTTGTTCAAGTACTGTGTAATGAAAAATTCATTGAGTAGCCACTCCGTATACAGTATTATTTCTTCTCTGATTGTGTTTTTAGGAAAAAAAGGCGATGAGGAATTCATAATGTATCATTCAATTTAGAAAACTTAACACTATCAGAAATAATCAAACGTTATTACCAATTTCCTCCATAGGGAACCGAAAACTATTCGGTCTGCTAATTTAAACATTACATATCTCTGTATTTTATTTTATTCATTAGCATAATGTTTTAAATATGAATACGAAAAAGTACTGGAATTTACGTAATCATCGTGAAGTAATCTCCCGTTTGTTCATGGTTTATTCCATTTTAACTAACAATTAATGTCAAGTCATATATTGTCTACAAGAAACGATGATTAGTTCATATAAACAGAATGGTATACGCTAAGAAAATACCATTTTATTATACATAATTAACAATTATGAGACATTCACTGAATAAAGAGAATGTAGTTAGAGTGACCATAATCTTTCCAAACACATTTACATTTTCCATATACTTGACAAATCCAAAACAATGTGTGTGTGAAAAAGTATTGATGTCGGTCTTTTCTAAACCCCTGTAACCACCAAAAAAGAAAAATCTATAGGTAAACTTTAAGAAATTCTTTTTAATCTATTAAGTGAAACACGAATTATAATGACCATTTACCAAAAATAGCAATTATTAATGATCACATTAAGCAAGATCGCCACTGAAAACCTGGAAGCACTGAACGGTCGTTTCGTTCTAGTATTGGACTCCTCAGGAGTGCGCGTCCACGATCATGCACGCGGTATTCGAACCCGCAGACTTCCAACTCGCGCGCAAACACCTAAACTCTAGACCACTGGGCCGTTATAAAACGCTGTTAATGTCTAAACTCAATTGATATATGATCTTGTGCAAATACTCATCTATTGTCTAAGGTAGATACCTGTCTCTACCCAACACGGATTGGATTCCACTGGTCACAGCTTCTCACTCCAGGTTTTCAACGAAAGTTTAGCTTACATCAGCTCATGAATTCAACCATTAAAATCACTACAATCTCCACAAACCCTCATTCTGGAATAAAAATTCACGAAAAATAATAACTTTATTTAAAATTGATTTAATTGT